GGTGCCTCGATCGCTGCCCCGAGATCCCGCCGAGGGAAGACCATGCTATTGGGCACCTCGTCATCTTGCCGCTTGCGATGCTGGTCAACGCTGCAATGCCTCATCATGGCCATGCAAGCGCACCATAGCATCAGCCGCGCCGCTGCACCGTCGCTCCTACCCTTACCAGCATGTCTCATCCGTTTTTTTTACAAATTGGTCCTTTTCAAAAACTTATTTTAAAACTAGTCCCAGCAAAAAAACTTCAACCAAAAATAAGCCGTGGACTCAGCGCCATGGACATTGGCGCTAAGTTATAACGTATCAGCGCCAACGTCGTTGGCGCTAAATTCAGCATGAATTCGCTGAGGTCCATACGATTTAAATAGCCACGCAAGCAACATATAGAACCAAGACTGTGATGGTGTGGTGGTTGTGACTTGGGCTGTGATCCATAGAGTGTTAGGTTCAAATCCTGGTATCCCTCATCTCCTATTTTCTTTTGTATTTTTGGGTTTTTCCTTTTCTCTTCCTCCTAGCATTTTTTAGAATTAATGTATTTTACAAAATAAGTTTTGCTCTCTTGACTACTCACTCTTGTTCTTTACAAAATGACTGTTCCGTTTGTAAATTTGTTTTATTTTGAATTTGATTTGAAATTTCAGTTTAAGTTCTCATTTGCCATATAATATAGCACTTTAATTTTTTTTCAAATAAAAAAAGTTGCATATTTTCTTTTGTATTTTTGGGTTTTTTCCTTTTCTCTTCCTCCTAGCATTTTTTAGAATTAATGTATTTTACAAAATAAGTTTTGCTCTCTTGACTACTCACTCTTATTCTTTACAAAATGACTGTTCCGTTTGTAAATTTGTTTTATTTTGAATTTGATTTGAAATTTCAGTTTAAGTTCTCATTTGCCATATAATATAGCACTTTAATATTTTTTCAAATAAAAAATTTGCATATTAAACATATATTTTGAAGATAGTATTACAAGACAAAAAAAGAAAATAAATAAATAAAGATATAAAAAGAAAACGAGATAAAAAAAGAAAAAACATATTAATAAAGAGTGAGGGAGAGAAGAAAAAGGGAAAAGTAAAAGGAAAAAAAAGAAAAAGAAAACGAGATAAAAAAGAAAATATATATTAATAAAGAGTGAGGGAGAGAAGAAAAAGGGAAACTAGAAGGAAAGAAAAAAGGAGATGGGAGTCGAACTCTGTTCCTGAAGTTTAAAGTAGAACGCTACTACCATTATGCTATCAATCTGGCGTTGCTAGAGATGCCTCCGAATTTATTTAAATCGTCTGGACCTCAGCGCCAAATAGATCTCATAACTCAACGAATCCATGCCACCTCGGATAAGAGTTTAGCGCCAACGACGTTGGCGCTGATACGTTATAGCTTAGCGCCAATGTCTATGGCGCTGAGTCCACGGCCTATTTTTGGTTCAAGTTTTTTGCAGGGACTAGTTTCGAAATAAGTTTTTAAAAAGGATCAATTTGTTAAAAAACGGATGTTACTAGAGCTGATTTTTGCGGCTTGGACCGTCGAAACAAGAATTCGGCAATAATAAAAGGAGTAGCGTACGAGACCTAAAAGTGGATGGATGCAGAGATAAGGATTTAGACAGATTCAGGCCCTCTCACTCAATGAGAGGTAATACCCTACTCCTGTTTGGGGATTTGAATCCGCCGGGTGTAGTATTGATCTGATGATCATATGTGCTCATACCCCCTAGAGGGCCTCCTGCCCATTTTATATAGGATGGGGGACAGAATTACAAGATAAAAACCTTAACCAATACGGTATCGGCTTCCTAAATCTACTTTATAATATCATCAAACCAGGGACTTTGCGTGGAGGAGAGGGGCGGCGGGGGCGGCAAGAAGTGGCCGGGCTTCGTCCAGTTCTTCTTCGTCCTCTCCGTGGTCCTCTGCGTGCTCCTCTACGCCCCGCGGTTCATCGTGCTTACGCCCACCTACGGCCTCGACTTCTTCCCCAGCCGCCGCCCAACGACACCACCTCGACCGCCCGCGTCGTGGGAGATCATAATGCTGGCGACGTGGTGGTTCTTGACAACCAGCTGCGCTCGCCGTGCTCGTCGCTCGCCGGCGACACCATCTGCTGCGACCGCTCGAATTTCAACACCGACGTCTGCTTCATGGCCAGCGACGTGCGGACGGACCCGTCGTCCCTGTCGCTCCTGCTGTTCCCCAAGCAGCCGCCGACGGCGAACGCCACCGTGGAGGAGAGGATACGTCCGTACACGCGCAAGTGGGAGGCGCTCATCATGAGCAGGGTCGAGGAGGTGCGGCTCCGGATGGCTCCTCCCGGCACGACGCGCCGCTCCTCGTCATGACGGCGGGGGGCTACACCGGCAACCTCTTCCACGCGTTCAGCGACGGGTTCGTGCCGGCGTGGCTGACGGTGCAACACCTCCGCCGCCGCGTCGTGCTCGGCGTCCTCTTGTACAACCCGTGGTGGGCGGGCACGTACGGCGAGATCATCTCCGGCCTCTTGGACTACCACGTCGTCGACCTCCTCCACGACAAGCGGAAGCACTGCTTCCCCGGAGCCATCATCGGCACACGCTTCCACGGCATCCTCTCCGTCAACCCGGCGAGGCTCCGTGACAACAAGACCATCGTCGACTTCCACGATCTTCTCGCCGACGTGTACGAGACCGCAGGAGACACCGTCGTCGTCGACGTTCCCCAGCCGGCGCCGCGGCGGCCACGGCTCGGGATCGTGTCGTGCAGGGGGAAGCGGGTGATCGAGAACCAGGCGGCGGTGGCGCGGCTCGCGAGGACGGTGGGGTTCGACGTGGACATCCTGGAGACGGCGGACGGGTTGCAGCTCCCGGCGTCGTACGCGTCGGTGAGCGCGTGCGACGTGCTGGTGGGGGTGCACAGCGCCGACCTGACCAAGCTCCTGTTCCTCCGCCCCGGCGCGGCGCTGGTGTAGATCGCGCCGCTGGGCGTGGCGCCGATCGCGCGCGGGTGCTACGCGGAGGCGTCCGCGCGGATGGGGCTGCACTACGAGCAGTACGACGCAGAGGGGCACGAGAGCTCGCTGAGCCGCAAGTACGGCCTCCGCGACGTGGTGGTGTCCGAAATTGAACTATAAGCCAGGTTTTCCGGTTTCTCCAAATTCTCACCAACTAGCTTCTCGTAGTTGTAGAATCTAGAAATTGAACTAAAAGACAAAAGCTAGGTTTTCCGGTTTCTCCAAATTCTCACCGACTAGCTTCTCATCAGCTGTTTCTCAGAATTTTAAGCTCCCAAAACTGGAATGTAACTAATATGTGACTTGTCTAATCTTCCAAAAATTGCAACAGATCAAGTAGCTAGTACGCACGGCTTGCTGGAGCGAGGTCCTCAGTTCGATCCCCTACCAGCGCACAAGCTAATCCTCACCCTAGTTTACATTTTCATAGGCAAACATTTGGCTCCGAGAGACATTTTGAAACTGGGGATGAGTTGCGGCCTTTTCCGATCTGTCTATAATCCGTGCTACCTTGGCCCTGTTTGGTTCCATGGGCTAATGTTTAACCCTCACCTTTTAGCCTCAAATTAGCCCTCAAGAATCCAAACATGTGGGCTAATTTTGAGCTAATGTGAATTAGCCCCCCTCAAAACATTAGCCCCTCCAAGGGGTGCTAATGGGGCTAATTTTGTATGGGGACATTAAAAAGCAGCTCTCTCTCTCTCTCTCTCTCCTCTCTTTCTACTCTCTCTCTAACTTTTAGCCTTGAATTAGCCCATGGATCCAAATATACCACCCTAGGCTAATGTTTAGCCTACCAATTCATGACTAAACATTAGCTCTTAAAATTAGCCTTGGGCTAATCTTCCAAACATGGCCCTTGTACTTTCGCTTCTTAATTACTATGGCGTAACTTTCCCTGTTCTCAATATATGCGGCGACAAAGCTCCTATACCGGTTTAAGAAAAACAAACATCCTGAATATCATGAATGGCACATGGATCGAGCAACCATATTTTGATCCATGACTTGCAGCTTGGAGCACCGGAGATATATTACTGGAGGACAGTAATGAACGTGAACTGATGGTCAACTACAGATTTGAGTTGGGTACTCATCCACAAGTGGATTTGTCAGTCAAAACTCAAAAGTCAGTCGCTTTAATCCGAAGATTTTGGGTTGTTCACATGTGATGGGGCTGCTTAATTGTACTCCATGTAGATATTTTGAGTCCAGAACCACAAGCTGCAATGCAGCAATGTGCTAGGCATTTTATTTGTCGTACTGGATATATAGTTTATATAGCTAGTGTCCGAACCTTCAGCGTGTCGTTAAATTCAGTGACTTCATAGGCCAACTTGGCAGTTGGCACTAGAAACTCACGTGTATATATACCTACTGTGTGCTTAACACCACGCTTCTGGAAATCTGGATAAACATTTAAATTTCTCTGACTTTATATTAGCAACAGTTGTTAAAATGCAGCGGAAATCTATTCAACTCTGATCTTGTTTTTCTTCCCGGAATTTTGGCCCGCCAATTTATTTTAGTTTTCACATTATGGAATTGTGAACCCTGGAAGAAGTGGTTGTGCATGGCCGCCTTCAATTCATCTTTGTTCGTTTTAAACCCTTTGGGCCAGCTATAAGCTAGTAGGTATTAAGGTGTTGATCGATGATGGATAAAATTGAGTTTGTAAAAAAAGAGATGGATATAACTGAGTTTATGATAATTATTCGAGAGCACCAAATGAATGAATTAAATAATAGAGCATCAAAATGATGATTTAAAAAGAAGTACATACTATAAGAAATGCTAGTGATTTTTTTTAAAAAAATCATATTAATTAAGTTTAAGCCCACAATAATTCGTCGTCCATTAGCTCAGCAATTCTCCTTCTCGTTCGTTCTTCCTTTCTTCTTAAGACATCTCATGCATGACCTTCTGTTGATTGGTCCATCATATTTTATGGAATGTGCCAATGTAGTCGACGCATATGCGTCTATAAATAGCTGGCTCGTCTATTGATTTGTGCAGTCACCCGGCCCACAGGCCACAGCTACTAGCAGCAGCAGCAAGACTGCAAGAGGGGGGGAAGAAGCTAGGTAGCTAGTAGTACGATGCAGCAGCCGCAGGCGAGCAGCATGACGGCGGCGGCGAGGAGGCGGCAGCTGCAGGGATCGGTGCTCGCCGGGAAGATGGTGCTCGTGCGCAAGGCTCTCGACACCAACTTGAACTCCGGCGACGTCGTGTGCCAGCTCGTCAGCTCCACGGTCGGCGACCCCGGTGCGTATCTGGAATCCTCTTTCCTTTTCTCTTAACTAGCATGGTGGCCCGCGTAGATTGCCCGGCGAGCATCATTATATTTTCTCTCATATAATAGTATATATGTTTTCTCAATGTATTATTCAAATATATTAAAATAACAACATAATTTTAAAATTTTGTATTACCTTTACGAAACTACTAATGTATAATATTCATATTGTATTTTATATACGTGTTAGTTATTAGTTATTTTTAATATCAAATTTTAGTTATTTGTAAATTATATTCCTATATGGACTCTAGACTCATCTTTCAATATTTATTTTTTTAATTTCGAATTTTCGTTATCTATAAATTGTATTTCTTTATAGACTCTAGGCACTTCTTCCAATATTATTTATTTTTAATTCTGACTTTTTCTTATTTCTAATTGTATTTCTATGTGGACTCTAAACTCATCTTACAATATTCTTTAATTTTTAATTTCGAATTTCAGTTACTTCTAAATTGTATTCTTATATTGACTTTAGATTCTTCTTCCCATATTTTTTTAATTTTGAATTTTAGTTATTTGTAAATTGTATTTTTATACGAACTCTAAACTCTACTTTTAATTCTATTATGTTTATTTCGAATTTTAGTTAGTTTTAAATTCTTATATGGACTCTATACTCTACATCGAATATTCCTTATTTTTAATTCTGAATTTCTATTATTTCTTAATTGTATTTCTATACGAACTATATACTCTACTTATAATATTCCTTATTTTTAATTCCGAATTTCTATTATTTCTTAATTGTATTTCTATATGGACTCTATACTCTACTTCTAATATTCCTTATATTTAATTCCAAATTTCTATTGTTTCTTAATTGTATTTCTATATGGACTCTAGTGTCCTCTTCAAATATTCCTTATTTTTTAATTCCGAATTTTCTATTTTTTTCTCAATTGTGTTTCTATATGGACTCTAGTGTCATCTTCCAATATTCCTTATTTTTTAATTCCAAATTTCAACTATTTCTAAATTGTATTTCTATATGGACTCAGTTTTTCTTTTTCTCTAATTAATATGAGAATTTCTAGGCTATGGGAGCGAACGTGGAGGCTCCTTTTTCTATTCCTTAAATAAGTTAATAGATTTCTAAATTGTATTTCTATATGCTCAGTTTTTCTTTTTCTCCAATTAATATAAGAATTTCTAGGCTGTGAGAGCGAACGTGGATGCTCATTTTTCTATTCCTTTAATAAGTTAATAGATTTAATTTACAAGTCGAATCCTGCACATTTCGCGCACCAAATTCACATCCATACATTGATACATATCTGCACACAGCTAGAGAAATTGAAGAGCTAGATCATACATAGCGCGAATATATACATTTTACCACCGTACGCATCCATATCGTCTATGTCACGCCTAGAAATTCACTAGTAATTTCCGAACTTATTTGTGCATTAAATCCTCATCCAGTAATCAGCCGAGGTACACAAACTGACAATTTAATATACAGATTCATCAAGTTAACTAAAACGATAAATACTTACATAAGAGGCACTTAGTCCTCACAACGAAGAAAACTGCAGCGAAAAATAAAATCTAGCGAAGCTCCGGCTCCACTCCCACAGGCAGCTCAATTGGGGTATAAGCCAAACGTCTTCTCCTTCGCAACTTTTCTTCAACTGAGGTTTGATTGATTATTGCAAGGTGAGCATATGACATACTCAGCAAGCCAAACAGCAAGTATGCAAGTGTACAAGGATACCAAAGAATGGCATAATATAGGGCTCATTTGCAAAAGCAGCATTTAGCAGACATTTGAGAATTGTAAAACAGTAGAGTAATTAATCATCAATATTAATCAACACTGAACAGCACACCCATGCTGCACAGGCCGAACCATCCTGAACAACCATACCCGGCTGTACAGATCTATCTCCAAACCAGGAATGTACCATTCCAAACCAGGAGCTAATCAAATTATTACCAGTTATAATATCATTTATTATGGTGAGAAGTGTGAGACTAATCACGAAAGGCATTGTTAGACCCGCCCATGACCGCGGGCACGGCTATTCGAATAGTTTTACTCTGGCCAGAGGTGTACCACTGTACCCACAAGACACGATTCCACACATGTTACTATGCCCTAAAGTACCACCACGGCACTGCAAAGGGGGAAATCGTGACAGTACCCTTCGCACAACACAACTCAAAGTAGTGCACTGTTCCTGGATTATAATCACCCCCTTATAAAACAAGGCATGGACTCCCCAGCGACCCCCGTGGGCTTATCTCCGCCACTTCTCAGTCTGGTGCCCCGCAATGAACCATGCTATACAAAAGATAAAGCCGTTGCCCATGCTGGCTTATGGTTGGCACGGTTAATATTTCACAGCCGAAACTCGTGAACCGGTCCTTAATTGTCATGAGCACGACCATCAAAACCATGTACTCACAACCCACCATTATCAAGTTTTAGTTGGCAATTAATTAATTCACAATCACGATTGACCATCGTGAGCTACAATTAAATATCCATCATTAAGTAATAGTGAAACATTAGTTATCTCAATAGTGTGCTAATGTTTCTAAGCATGACTAAGCAATTATATCTAATACATCTAGCTGAACCAATATATAAAACTCAACTAGTCAAATTATAACCCGAGGTAATCAAGAAATAGGGTAATCAATGCAAATTGGCCATAACAAAGGAACAGGTTCACGCCACCCGGTGACATTCGAAAATAAATGCACAGTTGAAATAAATAGAGAATTTAAATATAGGATCAACATGCTCAAAGGAATTGTGTTTGGGATCTATGTGACTTGTCTTGCAATAAAGGGTCTTCAATTAATCTTCTTGAATACTCCCGACGCACTCACGGACCTTCGAAACGACAGAAACGACAAGCTAACACGCAAAACGAGAAAAAAGACTAAGAAACTCCAAATAAACAGTACATAAAAGTAAACAAATATGTAGATCATGATTTTAGATGAATTATGAAACTTGAACGGCCTCATTCTGACTTCATATGAATTAGTTATGAATTTTACATGATTTAATTCCAACTAAACCTATTAAAGAAAAGACTATTTCAAATTAATTAAATAATTTACAAATGATTTATAACTGAGATAAAAGATTAAAGCAACCTCCGGAAAATATTAGATTATATTTGGTACATGACATATATTAGAAAGAAATAATATGCCACTGAAAAGAGAGAACGGATTTATATCAATTTTGGACGGCTGAGATTAATCTTGACCGAGAGTTGACCAAGATCGGATGGCTTAGATTAATCTGGCAAGCGAGCCTCACGAGATATCAACTCAACGAGTCAATTCTACATGACACATGATCACCTAAATGATCAACCGAAACCGGCGAACGGAATTGGCGGCTCTGAACTAAAGGACAACTCGACACGGACGAATGAACGAAGCACGGGGAACACCTCGTTTGAACGAACGAGCGAACGACTCAACAACGTCTGCGGCTAAACCGGTGAGCTAGACACGATTCACGGTAAAGCCCCGGTACGGCAAACGATAGGTTGGTAGGAATTTAGGGATGCACCTACGGCTAGACAACTTGACTACTGAGCAACAGCTAAAGCGGCGGTTAGGTTAAAGTGGCACACAGCTGCGACACGGCGGCACTAGGGCGACTTGGCTCAGCTAGGCGGCGGCGGCGACACACAGCTACGGCAGAGACACGCGGCTAGGGTTAAGGCGATGGCACAGCGACGACAGATGGTGGCTACGGTAGCGGGACAGCAGCAACTTGGCACGCACGAGCAGCAGCAGCACGGCTGTAGCAGGGAGCGGCACAGCGACGGCTAGGCGGCTAGCGCAGCGACGATGTACAGCGGCTAAAGAGCGACGCGGCGGCAACAAGGTGCTGGCGGCAGCGGCGGTGCACAGGGCAGCTGCCAAGTGACGCGGCAGCGGCTGCGCTAGGGTTAGAGCAACAGCGGCGGCGACATGACCGAGGGATTGAAACCTAACCCGAGGGGACACGGATAGAAGTCTCACCGAACCAAATCGATCGGAGAGGGAGGGTCGATGATGACGACGCTAGACAAACAACGGATTAGATTAGATTGGATTAAGGCCCTAGGGAAAAAAATCTATACCGGTGAACGTCATAGGAGCGGCGGTTGCCGGCGAACCACGGCACAATAATGCAAACGAATGCAAACGAAGGGCACCGGGAGAAAGAGGAGGCAACAGCGATTCTTACCAACACTTACGCGACGACGGACAGCTACGGAAGATGGCCGGCGACGAGATCGGGACGGCGGTGAGATACTGTCCACGGTGGCGACGGTGTTTCGGCGACCTTCGGCGACAACGGAGGGGTGGACGGCCTTCGGCTTGGTGCTGCGATGCCGACGACGGCCTCGGGGTGAACCGGCGACGACTGCAACAGCAAGGAGGCTCGGCCGGAGATCAAACCGAGGAGGCAAACTCGGCCTTCACGGTGACAGCGACTTCCAGCGAGACTTGGCGGAGGGGAACCGGTAGACGGGGTAGATCTCGACCTTGCGGAGCCGATGGAGGTGGCGGCGCAGGAGGGCGACGGCCTAGGCGACGGCGCACGGCTGCTGGAGTGGCGGCCGGAGGCGGCGAAGCTTGGATTCGAGTCGGCGAGGTACTTCCAGAGGTCTTCGGCGTCGGGGAAGTGGAGGCCGGTCTTCCTCTCCTTCCTGCGAACCCAACGGCGGCAGCGGCAACCGAAAGCGACGACAGACGACGACGAACGGCGCGGCTGGAGCGGCGCCGGCGCTTGGAGAGAGAAGGAGAGCGCGGGGAGAGCGATTCCGGCGGCGGCGGAAGACGGGACTTGAGAGGATAGGTAGAGGACGACTAGGGGGTCCTTTATATGGGCACGGGAGCTCGGGTCCGGGCCCAAGTCGACGGGAAAACTCGGGAAAGTCTAGGGTTCTCGCCGGAAAAAGGAAAGATTGAACCGCGAAATTGGAAAGGATTTCCATAGAAACTTTTGGGGATTTCTTGGGGAAAAGGAAGAGGAGATTGAGAGGATTCCATTCCCGCAACTAATTTGGAAAGAGGAGCAACGGGGAGGTCGGATTTGGAAGGGGATCGGCGCGGCGGCACAGGCTCGGCTCGGGCTCTGTCTGGAGGTTGAAGATAGAGTACTGTAGCGCCAGGGAAGTCAAACAGACTTCTCTGCGGGCTGACTAGGAAGGAAGATTTTATTGCTTTTCCAAATAAATTAACCAATGAGATGATCTTTCAATTGTTAAAAATACTTCCAATGCTTAAATAATTCTAAGAAAAATCTTTAACATACTTGGACACTCAAAGTATTTATTAAAATTTAAACCAGCTCATTTCATGATTAATTTAATATGTGAATAATTACTGAAATATTCTTTGTATTATTAAAATTAGGAATTGAGCTCTGAAAAACCCGAGAAAATTTCAGAGAGTATAATTAATCATGGAGAACTTAATACAAATTAAATTCATCCATACTTTATATTTAGGAAATTTTATTTTCTACATTTAACTTCACTTGTAAATTAATAAACATTTAATATAAATTCTATTAATAATCTATTAAATAATTTATAAATCCTAAAGCGGAAATTCAGGCTGTGACAGTCTATGTCCCAGGGAAACATGAGCACTCATGTCAAATTTAATACTTTAACTCGATCCGATCGGTGGTTATGTTTGATCAGTTAATATATATATATGCTCAGCTCATCACTACAATATAATCATTTCTTTTATAAAAAAACAACATTCTTTCAACTCATTTTTCAACTCTATTTTAAACCTACAATCCCTTGTATATATGGACGAAGAGAGTATAACGCGCTAGCAATGGTACATACATTTTAGACAATGGCAACAGGGGGATGTTGGGCCAGGAGGCATGCGTCCATATCAACTCGGAGCTACACCCAACTCCCTACGAGGCCTCCACATTCAGCTTCGAGTTCATCTGGGACATGAAGAAACAGGGTGTCCCCGGAGCGGTCATCGTCAAGAACTATTGCGACGAGGAGTTCTTCGTCAACACCATCACCCTCGACATTGTACCGGGCTATGGAACCATCGTCTTCACCGCTGAGTCGTGGGTTTACCCCGACGAGATATACGACCATCTCCCCCGTGTCTTCTTCAGTAACCAAGTAAGCTCGTCTTGAAATATTCTACCGGTCATGTTTTATGTACTTTGTGAATTTTGATCGAGAATTGTCCGTACATCGTCACTGGTATACCCATTTTTGTGATTTTGAAATGACAACGTCGGATTTGGCACTTTAATTGTTTATATGATCGTGGGTTAAGTTGTTTACAAACGTTATATATGATGAAATAATATAATATAAATTAATGATCAAAACTCTATGTAACAGTATACTTTTACAATTCAATACTCCCTCCGTCCTATAATATAAGGGATTTTGAGTTTTCGTTTGAACTGTTTGATCACTCGTCTTATTTAAAAAAATTTAGAATTATTATTTATTTTTTTGTGACATACTTTATTATCTAAAGTACTTTAAGCACAACTTTTCGTTTTTTATATTTGCACAAGTTTTTTGAATAAGACGAGTGGTTAAACAGTTCAACCAATAACTCAAAATCTCTTATATTATGGGATGGAGGGAGTATATTTCTATACCAGCAGTATATAGACGGGCAAAATTATAAATTTTATAGAAAATTGAAAAGGGCTTTCTAGTAATTTTGTGGTTGAGAGAGTTAATCGGTTCAATTGGGACTTATATATAAGCGTTTAAAAAATATATGCAACTTTATACTCAAGTTATGTAGAGGTAACAATATAGTTAGATATAGATGTGGTGTAATTACACTATAGTTTTTTTCTCGAACGCACAAAAGGATTGCACGTCAATATATTAGGTAATTATACTATAGTTACAATGTAATGTACATTATAGTGTTATTACATTTGAAAGTTTTTTACCTAAAAAATTCACGAGAACTTTAAGCAATTTCCAACTGACATATACATGTACTTGCACAGCCATACCTGCCAAACCAAATGCCGGCGCCGCTGGTGCCGTATAGGGAGGAAGAGCTCCGGAACCTGAGAGGCGACGACAATCCGGGCCCGTACAAGGACCATGACCGTGTCTACCGCTACGACGTCTACAACGACCTCGGCGAGCCAGACAGTGGCAACCCGCGCCCCGTGCTGGGTGGCTCCGACGAGCACCCTTACCCTCGCCGCTGCCGCACCGGCCGGAGGCGGACCAACACCGACCCCGACTCCGAGAGCCGCAACGTCGGCTTCCCCCTAACCAACCATTTCTACGTGCCCCGCGACGAGGTGTTCAACGACCGCAAGAAGGCCTACTTCGACACCAACAACCTCAAGCTCTATATCATGCAAAAGTACGCCACCTTTCTCTTGCACGCCGACCAGCAGACCCCCTTCGAGTTCGACAGCTTCGCCGACGTGCTAAGCCTCTACGACGAGGGCTCCATCAACCTGCCCGGATGGCTCAACACTTTCCTCCAACCATTGCTCGGCATAATCCCCTTCAAGTTGCTCCAGCAAGTCCTCACCCCCGATAGCGAGTTCATCCTCAAGTTCCCCATGCCGGCGGTCATCAGGGAGGACAAGACGGCATGGCAAACAGACGAAGAGTTTGCGCGCGAGATGCTCGCCGGCACCAACCCGGTCGTCATCCGCCGGCTCGGGGAAACCGAGTTCCCGCCCAAGAGCAAGCTAGACACAAGCAAGTATCACAACCAGAACAGCAGGATCACAGCGGCACACGTCGAGAAGTGCCTCGAGGTCGAGGGCCTCACCGTCGAGCAGGTGCTAGCCGACGGCCGCCTCTTCATCCTCGACCACCACGACCACTTCATGCCGTACCTGCTCGATGCCAACCATCAACCCGACACTTTCGTCTACGCGACGAGGACACTGCTCTTCCACCGCAACGATGGCACTCTCCAGCCTGCAGCAATCGAGCTCAGCCTACCTCGCTTTGAGGCCGGCAGCACACTCATCTCGTCCGTCGGCGAGGTCTACACGCCGGCGTCAGACGGCGTGGAGGGCCACATCTGGCAGCTTGCCAAGGCCTACGTCACCGTCAATGACTACTCGTGGCACCAGCTCGTCAGCCACTGGCTCAACACGCACGCGGTGATGGAGCCGTTCGCCATTGCCACGCACCGGCAGCTCAGCGTGGCGCACCCTATCCACAAGCTCCTCCACCCGCACTATCGTGACAACTTGTTTATCAACGCCCTCGGCCGCCAGAGTCTGATCAACGCCGGTGGTAGCTCCGAGAACACCGTCTTCCTCGGCAAGTATGGGCTCTCCATGACATCGGAGGTGTACAGGAACTGGAACTTCACCGAGCAGGCGCTCCCGGAGGACTTCATCAAGAGGGGCGTCGCCAAGCGCCGCTCCAATGGCGAGCTGGAGCTGCTGATCAAGGACTACCCGTACGCCGTCGATGGGCTCGCCATCTGGTCGGCAATCGAGACTTGGGTCCGCGACTATTGTGCCATCTACTACGCGGACGATGCGGCGGTCCAGGGCGACGCCGAGCTGCAGTCGTGGTGGAAAGATGTGCGCGAGGAAGGACACGGAGACCTCAAGGACCACAAATGGTGGCCGGAGATGAAGACGGTGGCCGAGCTTGTCCAGTCATGCGCCACCATCATCTGGATCGCCTCGGCGCTGCACGCGGCCGTCAACTTCGGCCAGTACATGTACGCCGGCTACGTCCCGAACCGGCCGTCGGTGAGTCGGCGGCCGATGCCGAAGCCGGGCACCGACTTGTACAGGGAGCTGGAGCTCCACCCGGAGAAGGAATTCCTTCTCACCATCACTAAGCAGGACCTGTCCATAGCTGGCATTGCCCTCGTCGAGCTCCTATCTAGCCATTCCGATGACGAGGTCTACCTCGGGCAGCGCGACTCGCCGAACTGGACGTCCGACCTGGATGCCATGAACGCGTTCGACCGCTTCCGTGAACGGCTCTTGGAGGTGGAGAAGAACATCGTGGCCAAGAACGACAAGGGCAGTGGATTCAAGAACAGGACAGGGCCGGTCAACATCCCCTACAATTTGCTCTTCCCTTATGCCTCCGGCGACGCGGAGGCCAACACCGGGGTCACCGGCAAGGGCATCCCCAACAGCGCTTCCATCTGATCAAGCACTATACTATACAACAAGGGCAAGCAAGGGGACACATACTCCTTAATTAGCAACATTTCTCTTCTCGTGTAATGTGATAATTCAGTATGGGTCATAAGTTTGTTTATGCAATAAATTAAAATAAAATCGGACTACCTATAAAACTGTCAAAAGAAAATTTCTCTAAAATATTTCAAATGTAATTATAGTGTAACTATATTATAATTCAGGTGTAACCGAAATGTAACTTGTCTAATCTTATAGAAAGATCAAGTGGCTAGCATGCATGGTTTGCGGGAGCGAGGTCTAGCAAATCTGAAATAAAATAATTCAGTAAATTTCGGTGAACACCATGCCCACCATGAAAGGCCGGAACATTAATTATTTGCCACCCACCAGACCCATATGTTATTGACACGTGAAGATCCACATGTCATTGGCACATGGATGACAAAATAATTAAACACTAAATCTAAGAGGGCAAATAGTTAAAAACCGTCCCTAAAACACTATCATGGAAGCTTACTTCTTTCACATGAAGGTGAACCTAGGCCTGAGGCAACCTACGGGACGAAATGCCCATTATATATACATTTCAAGTTTTCACTATACTAGTATAAATTTAACCTAGACTAGAATATGATGGTTTGGGCCTTGGTTTATACTCGTATTTAGATAAGAAAATTGCATCGATACCCCGCTATAATATTAATGAAAATTTCAAGAATTTCTCTGTGCAGAGACTCACATGACTATAAAAAGTGGAGGATCTTGACCCCACCTAATGTTATCCCTCTATCTTCTCCCTTCTCACCCTCTTCCCATGTTCTCGTGGCTGGTGAGGACGTGGCACCAACAAGCTGCGCCATCGCTGGTAACCTCGCGAGAAAGGCATCTGGTGAGCGCTGGACGGGGTTGAAAAATGCGCAGCAAAATGTCACAAGGAGAATTGGACCGAAAAAAAAAATCAGATGCATTGAAATTGTACAACAGAAATGCGATATCTATCCACATAAGGATAGCCAAATGCATAAATCAATCACACAATTAGAAGGAAAACGGATCAAACACAAATAAAAAACAAAGGCTCATCTACTGTAACACGGGGGCAGCTAGCCGTTGACTCTAAGTGTTTCTTTTAATAATGGGAAAATTGACTCTATGCGCTGACCGCAAGAGCGGGCTAAGAAATTCAAGTGTGTGTATTCAAAATGTGAAAGGATAAAAAAGATCCTTTCGACGAAATTTAAGAGTGTGTATTCAAAATGTTAAGGGGTAAAAATAATTCTTTCGACAGCTTAAAAACCTAATATTGATATGTATAATAGCACATAGTACTCATGGTATAATATATTTAATACTAACTCTTGGCAATGGCCGGTATGGTCTCTTTTTTAATTTTTTATACACATATGCATTATTTCCTGTGTATTATCTAAATTATTTTTATCAAAATTCCTGGTATTCATCGAAATACCAATGAATTAATTAAGCTGGGCCCGCCCATAATTACGTATCTATGAATGGCTGCATGTTGTCTCGATAGAGTTTAGAATTTTTCAAAAAATATCAGCAAACAACTGGTCTGTTTTACTTACGTCATCCACGAACCATCAAATTTGACCAAGCAGTGGTGCTACTTTTGTTCAGGTCGTTTTGCTTTCAATACTATTAAGAAAGAAACCATCAATATTGACCAAACGATCGGACCAAAGCGAAAGATATACTCCCTCCGTCTCAAAAAAAAAAAAGACAAACCCTGGGTTTCCGTGTCCAACTTTAACTGTTCGCCTTATATGAATTTTTTTTATAATTCGTATTTTTATTGTTGTTAGATGATAAACATGATTAATATTTTATGCGTGACTTGTCTTTTTAATTTTTTTCATAATTTTTTCAAATAAGACGGACGGTCAAACATTGGGCACGGAATCTAGGGTTTGTCTTTTTTTGGACGGAGGGAGTATGCCCTTAGGCTGCATTTAAGAGTTGAACAAAGAGAAGGTCACGCGCAAGTTTCTCGAACTGCTAAACGGTTTGTTTTTTGAAAAAAAAAGTTTCTATAGAAAAGTTGCTTTAAAAATCATATTAATCCCTTTTCAAGTTTAAAAGTAATTAATACTTAATTAATTACCATAGCTTACATCGTTTTGTAAGCTCTTCACCATGCATTGCCATGTCATCGTACCTCTTACCTCATTCTCATGTGGTGTATCATAAGTGAAAACTGAAAAAGATAGTATAAAACAGATGTGACGAACAAGATGATATACGGGATAAGAATTAAGAAAAACATTCTGTCAATAAAATATTAAGTTTAAGGGCAATAAAAAGGATGACAAAAGAAAAAAAAAGAACAGTTTGTGTTATTACCTCGTCCTTTCCCGGACATCTACCGTGGTTGATCCTTCTACTAGCAGTCTAACACAGCCTACAATCCTTCAAGGATGATAAACCGTAGACATCCTCTTCACTGATCAAATCAGACAAAGACAACCAATCCAATCAGCTTAATAACCCCAAAATTCCCCTCGCGCGTTCGGCGTTCCCCCTCTCCAAAAAACTCAAAATTCAAACTCACACCTCAATCACCCTCTTCCAAAAATTTGAACCGTACATATGTACCCAAACAACGACGTCTCAATAAAAAAAAAAACACATCACATCGCGCCCCACGCCCCCCCTCCGCTACCCCCGTCCGTCCAATTTCCAACCAACGGTTGGCCCCACCCAACCCCACCTCCTTGTCTCCGTCTCCTCCTCCTCCTCCCCCTCGCCGCCACACCAAACCTCGCCCTCGCCGCGCGCCCAAATATCCCGCGCGCGCGCCCACGCCCACGCGACCCGCCTCGCGCTGCCCCCCTGCCCGCCCTCGCTGGCACGACGCGGGCGCCGCAGGACGCGCGCGCAGACGCACGCCGCGGACCACCTCACCCAGCCAGCGCGGCCGCCCCTCCACCTCCGTGAAATCCAGGGCGCCTTTCGCGGCCGTCCTCTCCTCGGTTTGACCGCCCCCCCCCCCCCCCGTTGTGTGGTGGGTGTTCGATTCTTCGCCGGAGGCTGTGGCCGCGGATGCGCGCGGCCGTGGCGCCGCCGCCGCCGCCGCCGCCGCGATGGCTGAGTTGTCCGGGGACGAGGCGTGCCCGCTGTGCGGAGGCGGCGGGCCGCCAGCGCGCGTCGCGATGCACAAGCGGAGGCTGCCGGCGGAGGGTGCGCTTTCCGTGGCGAGGGTTGGGGCCGGGGACGAGGCGGCGGCGCTGCGGGAGGCGGTGGCGAGGCAGCAGCACGGGATCGCGGAGCTGCAGGCGGAGCTGGAGGCCGAGCGGGGCGCCGCGGCGGGGGCCGCCTGCGAGGCCATGTCGATGATCCTCCGCCTGCAGCAGGAGAAGTCGGAGGCCATGATGGAGGCGCGCCAGTTCAGGCGCTACGCCGAGGAGCGGTTCTCGCACGACGCCGCCGAGGTCGCCGCGCTCCGCGACGCCGTCGAGCAGCGGGACGCCACCGTCCGGTCCCTCTCCGCGCAGCTCAGGGCCTGCCGCTTCCGCCTCCTCCACCTCGGCTTCAACTCCCCGTTGCCATCGCTCACCTCCTCCGCCGCCGAGGCTCACCAGTACAACGACGACGACGACGACGAACACCACCCCTTCGACGAGGACTACCCTCCCATAAACTGCGACGAGCAACCTGCCTCCTCCGATGTGGGCACCCCGCGCACCCACCACCTGCTCAACAGAATGCCTGGCCGAGCCTCGGCCGCCGATAAGGGAGTCATCTCTTCATCCAGCACAAACTTGTTTCCAGATGACAGTGGCATTGCCATGGATGATGAATTCCCTCTCGTCGTGGACCGGGAGGCGTCAGACCAGGAAGATGACTGTCACCGGGTGTACACTGTGGATGCCGTGCACGTTGTGCCTGTGGCTGAGCCTGAAAATCCTTGCTACTTTGGAACACCAATTGGTGGCGAAATGAGCCACAGGGGTACGATTGGTACTCGGGCTGAGGAGGAGGAAATACAGAAGCTCAGTGCAAGACTGCAGGCTCTGGAGGCAGACCGGGAGTCGATGCGGCATGCCATCATGTCGATGGGATCTGAGAAGCAGCAGGTTGTACTGCTCAAGGAAATCGCGCAGAAGCTCTGCAAGGAGGCAGCACCATTGCAAGTAATTCCATTTAAGGTGCGGTCGCCACCACAACCAGTGGTTATGGCACAGAGGAAGGTGGTGAAGAGGCAGAGTTTCTTTGCGAAATTCTTTGTCGTCGCGGTGATTAAGGTAACTTTGTGCAATCTTGTTCTTCTAGGGCTGATACTGAGTTTGATTTCTTGAGGAAGAATCACAGAATCATTTTTTGTTTGTTTTAATAATTAATACTAGCTTTACATAGTGAGATAATAATTTAGACATGCAGGAGTCAGTAGTGTATCTTATTATGCTTGAATTTGGTCACAAATGGAGTGTTCTTGCTTGATAATTGCTCATTGAATGCACTACTTTATTGAATTATATAATATATAGGTTTGTATCATTAGCTCGATTGCATTTTACCTGAAGCATCCTTAACAATTTTGCTAGCTTAACCTTTTTGTCATATTATGTTAAAACACTATCTGTTAAAACTGCGATAAACTGAATTTTGCAGATCATTGCATATTTTATTTTCATTCTGATAATAATTGTGATAGGTGCCCAAATATCATATCGGAACTCTATGGTATTGTTGAATGACATTATTATAATACTCATTGACTGTGACTATAATGTTAGTTAACTATCCTTCTTTTTGTTTTTACCTTTTGTTGTCTCATCTCAGGCAATAATTATCATGCACTGAAAGGAAAACCCTTTTAGCTGCGTATGTCCGTGTAACTTTAGTTAGGTGTCAAATGGTCATTTGGTGCATGGTATGCTTTTCAGAATCCAATTGCTACTAAACTAAAGGGGGCTACAAAAAAATTAATGAACTTAATGTCTTAAGTCATTATACGTACTTATGTAGTCATAAGGTTTCTGTCTGTTCTTTGAAGTAGTGCACTAAAGCTGCTAAATTGTGAGTTAGGGCATCATGCAATGGTCAACAGTGGTTTTTCACGCTCCTTATTTCACCTGAGTTTTGTGCAAGATTTATGAAATATTGCTTCCTACTTGTTTCTTTCACCAAAGGATATTTGATGAAATACTAGTGATATAACCCACCATAAATGGCTGTCTGTCAAAAATGAATAACTATTCCTTGCAAGCAAATTTCCAGTTTGATGAGATAGCCGGTTGTTGCTGTTTTGTGACAATGTTTCTTTATTCTACCTTAGTACCGAACACCTGGAAGAAAGTACAGTCTGAATTGCTTTGAGAACGAGGAATCAAGTTCCATCACCTGACTAGACGATGATTCTTTATTCTTTCAATTTATTCTGTTGTTCTGTGTTTACTATAGTTTGAGGCCAAGTGTGCTACCAAATGTGAAGGAAAGCATGTGACCTTACTTAATCAACATGGGTCTGTCAGAACTGGATCATGGCTGAAAATTAACTAATAAGGATAAGGTTTGACCGACAATATGCGCTAGAGCCTGCCACGTCTATGACAGTGCCTGACAGTTGTGCAAATTTCAGTATGATTGTACTTCGTAAAAAAATAATTTAGTCAATTTATGCCCATTTTTTTATACAAAGTATCCCACCTGCCTGAGATTGGGAGGGGTGGATGAATAAGAAAAAGGAAGGGCATATCAGTTAAGTTAGAACAATCTTAAAATTTACATTTTGTTTCCATCTTTGGAACCATGCATTGCTTCTAGAAGACATTAATATTAAGATGTTACTCTCACACTGTATTTTCTTTGCTGATTTGCTTATTTGATGTTTCATCCAGTGGATTGCCTCTGTGTTTAGCTGGCGGAGGAAATCATATCGCGTCAAGTGAGTTGCCCTATCTTGCTCGGTTGGTTAATCTCTCGGTAGTGTTTTTTTTAATACCTAACCACCATTGGCACTGGGCATCAATTGCAGGTACCCAATCGGTTTGTGTGGGAGCAATGTTGGCCTGATGCTGCTACTGAACAGGTTCCCCAAGCAGAGGCACAGAAGGTACCTCAAAAGAAGCTAGCTGCTGCCTTCACTGGTCGTAGACACACAAACAAGGGAAAGATTCTGCGGCGCTCCTACGATTCTCTCCTCCAAATGAGCTATTTTCTGGACATAAAAGGCTCATTTGCATGTGAATCCATTCTGGTTGTTGCATATGTTTTGACCCCTTTGTCTATGCATTCTTTGGTTGGTTTGGTATGATAATCTAGCTCAGAATTGAAGCCTCGTTTTTTCGCCCATTTTTGCTGCCTGATTTTCTCCGTAGTAGTTGATTCTTTTTGTACCTACCACTCACGTGTTCAAGGACGCACTGTACATGGTCAATAACCAGTAAACATGTGTAGCTCTATTAGAATATTATGTGTGATCTGATGAGATCCAACGAATTACACAGGTGAGGCTCTGTTCGGTGGAAGAATTCAGATTTCAGAGTCAAGACATGTGCTTGAAATGCAGTGGTCAGAACAGACTTATTTAGGCTTGTTTAGATTTTCTGTTTTGATCATAGGCTTGTTTAGATTTAGATATCCAGTACGCCGGATCCAACTAATGCTCTCGAGTATTTCTGGGTCATGTCTTGAATTTTCTGTGAACTCTTGCATCTGCAGTTTGAAAATAGAACTGTCTGCGATAGTCTATTCTCTGTAATTTACTTAGTTGTGGGTTTTTAAGAAAATTTAATTTTAAGATATGCAATAAGTTTTCTTCTTGGATTTGGAGTTCATTTGGTAATCTCAATCGATCCTAATCAAATGCGATTCAAATTCGTCATATATTCATTCTAATCCTCCAATCAAATCTAAATGCATCTCAAACCAAAAATCAAGTTGTGGTCTAAACTTATATGCTCCCGGATCAATTTTGAAATGAAAATCGTGCTATCAAATTTTTGGGACTAATTATTTCTTTTGGGCTGAATTCCATTCGGCCCAAAATAAAAAAGAGGTCCGGCTAGGCTGCAAACAAGCCTCCGATGGCCTTGAAAAGGGGAAGAAAGAATAGGCTGGGCTAAGAAAAAGATAAGGCCGAACAAAAGGACAAGAATCGGACTCTGAATAAAAAAACAATCTGAAATTCGGAGGCAACTCCGGCTCGGACGTCCGATGTTTCGGGGAAAATCGGGCGCACCCGATTTACGTGCAAAAACTACTTTAAACTGATTTTTCTCTTAAATTACTTATCCAAATCATGATTCGATTGCACCATTAAATTCGTTGCAATTAAATCTTCAAAACAAAACCACACATGGATATATTCCGATGAAATTTTTTTAGCTTATTATTGAATTATTTTTAAATGTTGCACGATGTTCCACCAGGTATATCGGAATTGTTTCACTAAATAAACCGAAAATGTTTCACTCGTTAAATCTGGTGTTGTTTCACCTTATATAAAAATAATGTTTCAGCAAATAGCGAAAGAATGTTTCATTTCACTGCAACAACATTATAAATACACTAGGTGAAATATTTTTTGGTGAAACGAAAAATGAAACGAATTCCCTTAATAGGGGGTTTCTAAAATATGTGGGTTTTTTTTGTTGTAATGGAATATTTTAGTTCACCGCAACATTAGATTTATATATAGGGAAATATTATGAGTACACTAGGTGAAACATTTTTGGTGGAACAAAAAATAAACCAAATTCACTTAATAGGGGGTTTCCAAAATATGTGGGTGATTTGTTGCAACCGTGCATTCCATAATATCAAAATCCACTGCAACATTTGATCCGTACATAGTGAAACATCGCAAGCACACTAGCAGAAATATCGTAAAACTACTGGTTGAAACATCAAAAGAGATCATATGCAATATTAAAAAAAATATCAATAGAAAAGCTAAAATATTTTTTTATCGAAATATAATCATGTGTGGTCTTGTTGTAAAAATTTAATTGCAACGAATACAACGGTGTGATCGGATATAACCATGTAAGATCTTTTATATAAAGATTTAATTATAACGAATCTAATGGTATAATTAAATCGTAGGTCGGATAAATAATTGTAGAGAAACATGTATTTAAATTTTGAATATTTGAATATGCATGGACGCATGCACTTGACGTGTGCTGACGTGTACTAGCTCCCTGCATGCATGTGAGGACTTCTGTTGTCTCGGGTGAAGAGGCACCATTACTACCGTCCGATTTTTTGCGTCGGCCCAGATGCCCGATGAGAAGCATTCTCGCTGAAATTCCATCTAAAACTCGAGAATGCTAGTTCTCGGTCGATCGGCGCGGGTGCGTTAAATCGGACGCTCGCCCGTGTCTCCCCCATGGGGCACACCCACATGTCTCCCCTGCCCCCACCTGCCACTTCCACACACACAACTCCATTGTAACAAATCACCCACATATTTTAGAAACCCTATATTAGGGGCATTTGGTTTATTTTTTTCCACCAAAAATGTTACACCTAGTTACTCACAATATTTCACTATGTGTACATCTAACGTTGCAGTGAACGAAACATTCCATTGCAACCAAAAAAACCCGCATATTTTGGAAACCCCCTATTAAGGGAATTTGGTTTATTTTTTTTTCCACCGAAAAATGTTTCACCTACCGTACTTATAATGTTTCACTATATATAAATCAAATGTTACAGTGAACTGAAACATTCTTTTACTATTTACTGAAACATTATTTTTATATAAGCTAAAACAACACCCGATTTAAACGAGTGAAACATTTTCGGTTTATTTAGTGAAACAATTCCAATATACCTGGTGGAACATCATGCAACATTTAAAAATAATTCAATAATAAGCTAAATTTTTTTTTCATCGGAATATATCCATGTTTGGTCTTGTTTAGAAGATTTAATTGCAACGAATTTAATGGTGCAATCGGATCATGATTTAGATACGTAATTTAAGAGAAAAATCATTTTAAGTAGTTTTGCACGTAAATCGGGCGCTGACGTCATGCTGACATCAGCGCCCAATTTTTCCCCAGCATCGGGCGTCGGAGTCCGACGCGTAGGCCTCCCCTCTAAAACTCCGCAGAAATGCTGAAAATCGGGCGCCCGATGGGAGAAAAAAAATCGGTCACTCCCCCCACCCCCCACGACGCGTGTCGCCCTGCACACCTGCCACGTGTCCCCACCACATATTCCGTTGCAACAAATCACTAATATATTTTGGAAACCCTGTACTAAGGGAATCCGTTTCATTTGTTTTTGTTCCTCTAAAAATATTTCACCTAGTGTACGCACAATGTTTCACTATGTATGACCTAATGTTGCAGTGAATTAAAATATTCTTTTGCAATAAATCGCCCGTATATTATAGAAACCCTCTATTAAGGGAATTCGTTTTATTCTTTGTTCCACCAAAAAAGTTTCTCTAATGCACTGAATTGAAACATTCTTTGCAGCAAATCATGCACATATTATGGAAACCCTCTATTAAGGGAATTCGTTTTATTTTTTTCCACCAAAAATATTTGATCTAGTGTACTTATAATATTTCACTTTGTATGGATCAAATGTTGCAGTGACTTGAAAATCCTTTCACTATTTGCTAAAACATTGTTTTCATATAAGGTGAAACAGCGCCCGATTAAAACGATTAAAACATTTTCGATCTACCTAGTGAAACAATTCTGATATATTTAGTGCAACAGCGTGCACCATTTAAAAATAATTCAAAAATAAACTAAATATTTTTTTCATCGGAATATATCAATGTGTGGTCTTGTTTTGAAGATTTAATTGCAACGAATTTAATGGTGCAATCGGGTCATGATTTAGATAAATAATTTAAGAGAAAAAAATAGTTTAAAGTAGTTTTACATGCATGCATGCATGATGACATCATGCTGACGTGGGCGTCCGATCTTTTGCAATAGATCGGACGTCCAATTTATAGCAGCCTCCAAAACTCCGGGATAGGGAAAAACCTCTTGGGTTCATCGAAATTTCTGACTTTTTGAAATAAAATGACAGATTCTGCATAAATCGAAAAGGAGGAGGATGCTTGCGCACGAACCCCCACCTTGTTGATGATCGCCACCGCTGGAGGGACGACGGCGAGGGTCACCGGCGAGTCACCTCGTCACCTCAGTTCGACGTACGTCACGATGATCGCCGCTCCCGAGCTCTTGCCGCAGTGGAGACACACGGGAGGTCACCGGAGAGTAGCTGCCCATTCGTGCCCATCGCGCCGCCGGGGAGGTCGCCTCGGCCGGCCACTACAGTTGCCTCACCGGCGATGATGGCCTCGACGAGAGGAGATAAATTTTGCTCCGGATGATGAAAGGGGATTTGAACGAATTGACCAAACATTTGACCCGAGTTATTATCACTGACGCATTTTCCGACCAAACGTAAAATAATAGGCCTACAAATCAATTATTTGGACTTAAAAATAACCTCAGACTTAAACTTTTTTCTCAGACTTAAACTTTTTTCTTTGAGCGAAAGGCAAAGCTTGCCTATTCATTGAATATAGAAGGGCAAATTTACAAGTCAGGAAAAGAAAGTAATATTTACAAAAAAAACGGTCGGGGACTAAAGTAACATCTCTGCTAGGCGTTTGGCTCCTGCCGTAGCTCAAGATTTTACCTCTTCCTTTATCTTCGGGATTAGGACCACCGTCGTTAGCTCCTGTTTCAGAAGATGCATTGGTTTTACTCCTTCCAAATGCCAACAACAGTATCCTAAACATCACCAACGGTATCCTTAAATTCTATCATTTAAATATTGTTTAGGGGGCATGTACAATGATGTGTAATAACGATCTCTCTTCGTTGTCATGCAAGTAAAATTAGTGATGTAGGAAAGAGAGGGGGAGAAAAGGGAAACATGGAGTTGACTCTTAACATTTATTAAAAAAAAATTGTTGCATGGGGTGGAGAAAAGAAAAGAAGGGTAGTAAAAAAGTATATTTTAGTGCATTAATGGTTAAGAATTTTTATTGCCTCAACTTGTAGGAGTATAGTTTCTAAGTGATATATACTATTAAGTAAGAGGTAATACCTGGCCTAATGGAAATCCTAAGCAACAGAATTTGAGATGTGAAATAATAATCTCTTGAAGAGATTGGTTAAATTCTACATCTAAAAATAAAAGTGGGGTCCCATACAACAAAACTACAACTGAAATCTGTTTCCTTCTCCCTCTTGCGATCGAGCTTGCCCACGCGACCTGTGATGATCGCAGTGTCGCGCCTCTCCGGTCTCCATTCAACGTGATCAAAGCTCGGCAACAGCAATCAGCTCTAGCCATTAGCAAAATAACTATCAACACCAACCAGCAAGCAGAACATTAGTAGCTCTAGAAACTTGTTAGCAACTCAGCAGTCAGCAGCATAAGCACTACCAGCAGCAGATCAGGTACACAGATTTGACTGGCACCTACAAATAGAGAACCAATACAATGTCAAAAAATAAAGGGTAAACTAACATACAAAATTTGCATGCCAAGAACCATCTATTTATTCCTGGCATTCTTGTTAGACAACAATGGTGCGATTTTAGCAGCAGCATCATCAGCAGCAGCACCATTAATCATTAATTTCCGCTGTAGGTTTCGTCCGAAATGCGCTCGGCATCTGTCAGGACGCCGCCATTTTTTACACAGAATGGAGAACTAGGAACAGCAGCAACAACATAACGGAGCACTATTATTTTCCCTCAGCACATAGCAGCGGCAACAACAAGCCAACAACAAAATTAAACCAGGAAGCAATAGCAACATATACTAGCCGTGCGTTGTCGCATCGGCGTAGGTCGCCACGGAAGACTCTCTGCCGACTACGTGAGAGATGTGTCCGACGGTTGGGTAGCTAGAGGGCTTCTTTACTTGTGGAGAGAGAGAAACCTGGAGATGGGAATTCTGATTTTGGGTCACCATTGGATCGATTTTTTTTTATTTTACAAAACTTCAAATTATTGGATAGGGATTTGTTTTGGGTGCTGCAAGCAAGAAAACATGAGAACAATCTTAATTGGACTTGACTGTGTCTGGGTTGGACCGATCATCAGATCCTATCACTAGAAGGGATACCATCATCTCAATCGAGCGGTATACCCCATCTCAATCGGGCACGGCGTCTGTCACAGACTAGAAGTCACAGATGTGAAGAGTTATCTCAATCGGGCAAACGGCCGTCACGGATGAATCTATCTAAATCGGGCCCTAATTAAAGCCCGTCACCGATAGCTTTGACCCAGACGACTAGTCAAACTATAGCCCGTCACGGATGACCTATCTCAATCGGGCCACAACTAGCGCCCGTCACAGATGACCCTTATCTGTGACGGGCATTAACTATAGCCTGTCACAGATGACAGCATTAACTATGGCCCGTCACAGATGACCCTCATCTCAATCGGGCCTAAGTTAATGCCCGTCACAGATGAGTATAATCCAAAAATAAATAAATTTTATTTTTTGGCTAGTTTTAGGCCTCTAGGCCAGTCTTTTTTTGTCCTAACTTGAATTCAAACTTCCCGATCAGTCACCCATCCTGAAATTGTTCCAAGCCGAGCACGCTAGATTGGCTTCCGGAAAAGTAGTTGTAACTTGTTGGTATGAGTATTCTATTAATCTTATTAAGCCCTAAGCCAGGATGTCAAATTGGGGGTTATTAAATGATTTCAAATGGAAAAGTCACCAAAACCAAAGTTGTAGAACTCATCGAGGTGTAAAATTTTTATTTTGGTCATTTCTCCATATGACTCTATTTAAACAATTTGAAATTCGAAATTCAAAGTTTTAAAAGTTCAAATAGAATTTTAGATCAGTGAACGGCTTCAACTGAAAAAGTCATAAACAAGAAAGTTGTATAACTCATCAAGATCTATAACTTTTATTTTGGTCATTTTTCTATATAACATTTTTTGAACCATTTGAATTTGAATTTGAAAATATGACAACTTCAAACAATATTTTCAAATACTAAATGATATCAACTGAAAAAGTCATCAACAACAAAGTTGAATAACTCATCAAGATCTAAAACTTTTATTTTGGTCATTTCTTCATACGACAAAGTGATAGTAACATTATTCATAAAATTGACATATCTCTTATCTGGTTTTATAAACTATAACACATATATGTAAAATTTATGAATAATATTACTAACATTTCGTTGGATGAAGAAATAACAAAAATAAAAGTTTTAGATCTTGATGAATTATTCAACTTTGTTGTTGATGACTTTTTCAATTGAAATCATTTAGTATTTGAAAATGTTGTTTGAATTTGTTATATTTTCAAATTCAAATTCAAACTGTTAAAAAAATGTTATATAGAAAAATGACCAAACTAAAAGTTGTAAATCTGGATAAGTTATACAACTTTGTTGTTGACATTTTTTCCATTTGAAATCATTTACTACCCGTAAAATTATTTTGACTCATAAAATGAATTATTATACTTCACTTAATTATTTTGCTATAGTTCAACTTACAAATATAAACATTTCATATGAAAAATGAAAAAATAGTCATCGGTGACAGGCTTTAGTTAATGCCCGATAGAGATTAAGTATATAGCCCGTCACTGATGAGTCATCTGTGACGGGCCTAGTTGCTATCTCAAACGGGCCTCAAGTTGGTGCACGTCACGGATGATGGTCATCTGTGATGGGCCACAACTTGAGGCCCGTTTAAGATATGGAATGTTATCTCAATCGGGCCTAAAGTTGGCGCCCGTCACAGATGATGGTCATCTGTGACGGGCCACATCTTTAGGCCCGTTTGAGATATGGAATGTTATCTCAATCGGGCCTAAACTACGGCCCGTCACTGATAGGTGTCATCTGTGACGGGCTTAAGTTTTATGCCCATTTAATATGTCTGTGCGACCATAACTCAATCGGGCACTTTTTGGCCCGATTGAGATGACTTCCTTGTGACGGCATGCTATTTCTAGGCATATTAGAGCCCGTCACAGATAGAAGGATCTGTACTAGTGTATATCGGTTCGGTCCCATGCCGCCAGTCGGTCTAGCCCTGTGCAAAAGGCTTGGGTCTTTTCCAAATCTGACCTGGACTTGCGATAAATATATCCCAGTGCTAAATTTGGTTGCCAACATATATAATTCACGTACCGCGGTTAACAGTGAAAACGGGAAAAATACATATAAATTTTCTAGAAGTTTCTTAAAAAATACTACTTAACCGCTTTATCAATCAATGCACACCAGCTTAGTAAAATAAAACAGAGCGGTTATCGCCACAATTTTAACAGTCCTTACCATGGTATATGTGTCCGTTGATAAAACATACCTTCTATACATGGTTTAATGTAATACGACAATACCATATATCTAATAGTATACGAGAAGGTATCCTATAATTAAAGGAAATAAGGCAAATAAAGATAGAAATTATCTTCCCGGACTGGAATGTGTAAGAGTCTAGTCGGGGGAGATAAGGTTTGTCTCTCCAAGTTCTACTTGGATAAGAAGATGACCAACGTATTAAATAGAAGCCCCCCTCTCATCCAGCAAGAAGCATCGAATTATAAGCCATAGCCAAAGCCACATCCAGAAGTAATCCGGAGGAAGCCAGCGCCTTATTCGCCGAATAGATCTTGTTAGGTCGTTCTCGTCAGCTTCTAGTCGACGGATTCATCAAGTCGTCCTGTTCCCCATTATACTTTGTGTGGTATTCCCATCCATAATACATATAAACTGAAGTATGGTTATTACTCATCTTGAGGACATGAACCAATATAAATCATTATCCTTTGTCTGTTTGATCTGATCTTGAGTATACCTTGGTTCAAACGATCCCCATACCCTGCAAATATTGTCTTTGGGTATAGTTCGTCGACAATATGTTAAACACATTTTTCTCACACCTCTAAATAAACGACCATTTCTATGGTACTTTCACACTATAAGCATATATATAGGTCTTGTTTGGCATAGTCCAAATATTACATCCATGTTGGATTTGAAATTTGTTTGTTAAATTATAGTAATTTAAATTTTATATTTCACTTAAAATAGGAGAAAAAATGATTCATCGAAATGCTTTCAATGTAATCGCGGATCCAGATTTATAAATATGTGCAGTTAGAAATACCTAGCTCTAAAAAATCTTGGATAGAGATGTGCCAAACAAGACCATATGCAACAAGCATCTCCTAGAACATATGGTCTTGTTGCATATGGTCTTGTTTGAATATTGCAACTAGAGATCACAAAAATTCTCAACACTATATACTTCTAACTTGTAAGTCCAATGAGCATCTAAACTCATCCCATCACTATTTGCATGTCAGGCTGGCTACATAGAAGGGTGGCAGAATCTCCATAGGGGCCACGGACCTCCCGAATACCCACCCTATGGGCCCATGGGCAAGTGCAATTTCCAACTTGCTAGTCCATTGAGGTGGGGCCCAATCAAATGCGTAACAGTTTTCACCCATAGGTTAACTACAGTCCCTAGGATATAAGGCCCATCAACAATTGCTTATGAAAGCCCATTTCTACAGGCCAAACCCTAGGTGTTCTAGTTATAAATAGAAGGGTGTGAACCCTAGATCAAATCCTTCCCAACCTCCTAGCCGCCAGCGCCGTCAGGCCATTAGCACTTGCGCAACCCACTGGCCTCGCAGTCACCCCCTCTCTGACCGGCCGCCACCGCCCCTCTCCATCTTCCTTTCTCATCGACGCTCCAAGTCCCTCTCCTCTACTGCTACCATGCCGGCGCCCCAATCTTGTCCAACTTGGATCCGACCCGCCCCGTTGTCAACCCAAGATATATACTGTCCTAAGAGCAAAAAAGAAAAGGGGTAGCTCGAAGTTGCGGCGGCTGCAAAAGAAAAGGATGAAGACTTTTTTACCTCTAGGGTTTTGTTCCCCTTTATCTCCTTGCATGTTTGGAGCAGATGCTGGAGTGAGCTCGGCCATGGCGACATCAATAAGTAATACTTGTTCATCTCTAAATCTTGTTGCCCCCGTTTTTCGCTTATGGAATTTGTTGAGTTCATTTGGATCTGATGCTTTTCTTTTCAATCCAGTCTTGTTTGATATGATTATTGGTACGGCTAGGGGTTTCACATTAGGAATCAACTTGGTCTAAAGATCATCCACTGGAGAAGTTATGAAAAAAAAAGGTGAGTACTTCGGATCCTTTTGTTTATCTTCTTCTTCCACTACTTTTTTTATGTGCCTTTTCAAGTTTCTTCGTGTTATCTAGATTAGTGGGTGGTACATAAAGGTCTAATCTTTTTAGATCTACTCTTATTTATACTGATCAGGAGGTCATTTTTTTGTTAAAAACAACAGATCTAGCCATATGTGTTTGCTACATATGGTTAGTGAGGAAAATAATTCAGAACTTTGTGTTTACCTTCCTTGTGTGTTTTATACATTTTATTATATGTTGAAATTGATAGTTATAGAGATTACTATTTATGTACCTTACCTTTTCTAGGATTAATCTACTAGTGTTGCATGGGCTATTGTTTAGATTACAAACATTTAAAATTTAATAATATACTGAATAGATTGGTTATTTTATAAATTATAGTTGCTTAGATTTAAAAATGTCTATATAAATTACAACTTACTAATAATTTCAAAATCAAAATGATACAATATATTTATCTAATGCCCAAATTTTGGAATTATTTTTTTTCAGAAAGATATCCATATTTGTTTTATTGGTGTTATTTTAGCTAATTCTGGTCAACGCCTCTAAAAATATGTTTTCTCAAAAAACATTATTCCACTACATTGCTTGACCATTTTTATAAGATATTTCTAAAGTTCCTTTCTCAAATATTTAATTTATCCCTATAATAAAATAGATAATTCGTAACAATAATCTGGACAATAGTCTATGTCAAATGCAAAAATTAATATAATAAACTGAAGAGCCCATAGAATTTACAACAATATGTTTTATTCAAGATGATTTCTCAATATGATATAAAATTTTGATAATACCATCACAATCACCTAATCAAGAAATAGTTTGTTTTCTAGATAAAGGTTAAGGATTTACCTCAAATAAATGATCTATGACTATGGATATAATCTACCAGCTCGCACATCAATCAGGTTGTACATCTATTCTGTTAGGGCATGTACTTTAATAATAAACTCACTGTGTTATCATACAAATAAATTTGGTAACATAGAATAGAAGAGAGAAATGAGAGGAAAGAGAAACATTATTACTACACTTGACAACAAAGTGACTCTTAGCATTTTTTAACGAAAATTTGTTGCATGTGGGTGGAGAAGATAAAAAATGGTAAATAAAAAAAATGTTTTGGTGCATTAATGATGAGACCTCTTATTATCTCAACTATTATAAGATGGTAGTCTCTACCTCTACCTTTGTATGTTTCCAATTTCAGTATACCGTATAGGATTCTACTACCGATTAGCGATTAATATACGTGACTGGATAAGAAAAACAAGCACAGTTAGAGAAAATTTCCAGTCCGGTCAGTAAACCGTATAAGATTCTATTGATTGCTTAAACCGTACATCTATTCAACAGAGATAATTTCCCATTCACTAAAACCGTACCAGATTTAACCATTTCTTCATGTACGTAACTGGATAGGAAAAATAGAAACTAAATAATTTTGAATGCATCGATACAATCTACGGTTGTGATATTACGATCATTCTAATCAACTGCTAGATTTTTCTAGTTGATATATGAGCTCCTAAAAAATATCTAATTAGTATAATTAGTATAGATAGATAGATAGATAGATAGATAGATAGATAGATAGATAGATAGATAGATAGATATTTGCTTAACCTTTGTCCATCAGTGAAGAGGAAACGGCCATATATGACCATATGGAGTACTATACATTAATTAGTGCCCATTAGGCATTCTCGCGAAAATTGCACTCACGGCTTGGCCTAGCTGGTACTACATGAATTTTACTTTTCACGAATATATGGGTATATCCGGCCAGAGAGGCATATGGTTGGCCCAGCTTAATTAAAATGATTCCCCGCGCCTTACTACAGAAATTACTAAGTAACTTTTAATATTTTTTAATAATCGAGCTAAAAAAATTAAATTAGTTATTAACAACAAATAAAACTAGTTTGTCAAACTATGTTCAAAGAGAAATAAATTTAGTAGACATACTCTATATGAGATTGTAGATGAAATATGATATCCCACACTTTGATTATATGGATGAATATATGTTGAATATTATAAAAATGATGGATATATATATATATATGTTTAAAATATTATGAAGAATAATGTGAAGAAAGATGATTGGGTGTTGATTTGTAGAATTCAATGAATTATAGATAATGTTGCATGCATGCATAAGTTTTTTATATAGTTATTGCTAGTGGATGATGATGTGACATGTTTGTATGTTGAGTTTTAAAATTCGTGGGTTATAACTTTACAGTAAGATAGGATTAGCATGGTTTCTTGTTTTTTTTTAAAAAAAAACCCAATTAGGGAACTCATGAAATTTAGAACTAATTAGTAACTGAAAATAATCTTTTCCGAAATTAAAACAACAACAATTTTATTTCGAACATGGTAAAATAAACAAATGTCAGCCGAGTTTAGGCCTAACTAATTAATTAAGCTAGGTTGGTCAAATAAATTTGGCTCAGCATTGAACGGTCTAACTTTTTCTAGACGATCAAAGCTCAGAAAGGCAGAAACATGTATAAATCTTGTATTTCATAATGTGTTAATCTCGGAACCTAATGTTGGCCCAATTACTTTGTGGTTAAACAGATGAGGCAGTACTGCATGCACTTAGTTCCTGATGCAGTAAAGACATTAACTAATGGTTCAATTGTTGGCGCCACACTAATTCGATGGATTAATTGTTTATGGTTACATGGCCTCTGCTGGTAAATTGGAATATGATCTCACGTTGCCTGCATGACTGCATATCAGGTAGGTGCTTCTAACTAGTTGATTTTCCTCTTGGGCAAACCCCAGCTAGACTTCCGCATGTATGTGTTCCATTTAATGTTTCGATTATCATGTTAAAAAGTAAACCAAATATGTGATGTGGCTGTGCACTGAGATGAAGACGCTGGGTGAGTGTGCTAGGGGTGGCAAAATCTCTATCCAGGAACCCGCCCTTACAGATTAATTAAGAATAGATCCAATTTTTGACCCGCGGAACCTTTGAGAAAATGTGAGGGTAACAGTGGGGAAGTGGGGCGGGACCCTGTACAGGAATAAGGCCCATCAAGAGTAGCTTTCCAATTATCAGAAGTTGATTACTACTCGACCGACCCAACTATTGGATTAGATATAGCTGAAAATAAAAGGATGTAGCTATAAAAACGAGAAAACTCAAATCATCCTTAAGAGGATATCCTCTCATTTTTACATATCACTTAAAAAGTCATAAAAAAATTGAAAAAACTTAACAGGATAGATCAATATGTGATATGTCACTTCACAAATATGCAAATTCAAATTCAGCTTATACAAGTAGAAACAAAAATAATAAATTTGACTATGAAGTGAATGTGTAATTCACGGTCAAATTTGTTATTTTTTGTTTCGAATTGTATATGTCAAATTTTAACTCACATGTTTGTGAAAAGATATATCATAGATTGATCTATCTTGACAATTTTTTAAAAAAATTTTGATAACTTTTTGAACGACATGTATAAAACGAGAGTATGTCCCCTTGATAGACAAAAATCCACTTTCATAAAAACGCTACATCAGGTTTTCCCGACCTAGGCCATGGATGGTTAACTTGGTTTCCCCTTTTTTTTTTTGGGACAGCTCACCAAGATAGATACAAATATGATTTCAGTAATTTATTTCAATAGTATATTAAAAAATTACGTTACTATTTTCCCACTACTTAAATGATGAGTTGTTTACATATTGAGTGTGTCAGTACTGACTTTATGCATTTTTGTTTTTTGTTGAGAATTGGACAAAAGTGTATTGAATCACTTAATTAAACAGTAAGCATATAAAATAAATACAGCTAATATGATGTCTATATGCACCTTCTTATAATTTTGCATGCAAAATTGAATCAAATTATAGGGAGTATGGGTCCATTTGTCAATCCTTACCATTGTTCTCATGCATTACGCCTGATAAGTATATATACCGATTGAAAAAATATATATTAAAACAATTATCTTGAGAATATAAAACTAAAATAGAAAGCATATCAAACTAACTATATCATCCATGGATGTATATCCATGTCTAGATGATGTAACCATTTTTTCTTCCAAAAAAAGGTCATACATAGAACACACATACTTATCTTCATGGACCAATCTGTAATCAGCTCATCATTTAAGTAGTAGAGAAATACTAACGTAAAATTAAATATGCTAGTGAAATGAATTTGCTTAAATCAAGTTTGTATCTTCCTTGGTGAGTTGTCAAAAAAAAAAACGGTAAATCAAAGTTGACCCTCCATGTCCCTGGCCCCACCACGCAGCGTCTCACAAACCTGTACGTGCTGCACCATCCCTCGTGTGGATTTGTTGTGTCCGTTGTTGCTGAAACGGACGGCTCAGATCGAGTAGAAACGGACACAAAAAAAAAAGAATTCCTAGTCAGTGATTGCAATGCCGGTTCGAAATTTTAGACCCCACCGGCAAGCCATTATCTCGTCCGAAATTTTCGAATTTTCTCAATTTTTTGTGAATACGGTCAAAATTTATCCAAATTCAGTCGAAATTTGTTAAAAAATTTATATAATTTCGGCCCAAAAGTACCGAAAATTTCCAAATTGCGGTATAGCACTGAAATTTTGACCGAAAGCGAAATTGTAAACCCTGTTCCTAGTACATTTAAAACCTCCCGCTTCAGCGTCGCCTCTCGTTTTGGGAAAGCCTTGATGGCGGCGTGAGATAATCTCAAGTGCTCGTCCAGTTCCATCGATTATTCCTTTCCTTGGATTGGTGGAGAGATCGTCTCGATCCCCTCCCAAGATTTGGTCGAGCGATTTCGGGCAAGAGATCGCGCGGCGGCGATGGCGGCGCGGGATAAGAGGATTAATGGTGGCCTCCAAGGCTTCGCGGTGTCGTCCTCGAGCAAGAAGGAGAAAGGGATCCGGATCTTGGATGCCCCTGCGCCGCCGGAGATCCCGACGCGGCGTGCCGGGTTCTCTTTCGGGGTAGGTGATGGTGAGGAGGCGGAGGAGGAGGTGGTGCTGGCGCCGTCGTCGGCGCTGGCGAGGGCGCGGGGGTGCGACGTGTACGTCGGGTACGGCGGCGGCGGTGGTGGTGGCGCGGCGGCGGAGGTGGAGCGGTTCGTGGCGTGGCTGTGCGCCGAGATGGAGGCGCTCGGCGTGCGCTGCGTGGCGGCGGACCGGCGGCGGTGCCGCGACGCGCCGTCGCACGCGGCGGCGCGCGCCGCGATGGACGCCGTGGTGGCGGGCGTCGTGGTCGTCACCCCGGCGTCGCTCGGGAACCCCTACTGCGTCGACGAGATCCGTGCGTTCGTGGAGAAGGGGAGGCTCGTGCCGGTGTTCGTCGGGCTCGGGAAGGGCGACTGCCGCGCGGAGGACGTCGTGGAGAAGCGCGGCGATCTGTGGGGGAGGTTCGGCGGCCACCTGTGGAAGGTCTACGACGGCGGCGAGCGGGACTGGAGGGAGGCGGTTGGCGCGCTGTCCCGTGCTGATCCGGCCGTGGAGGTGGACGCCGCGAGCCAGAGGCACCGCCTGATCGATCTCCTCGAGATCGTCGGGTCGAGGCTTGGGCGGCGCGCGGTGACGGACGCCGTCCGGTCATGGCGCGCGGCGGCGGCGGTGCACCCGGAGCTTCCCTTCGCCCGCAACGAGCGCTTCGTCGGGAGGGAGAGCGAGCTGCTCGATCTCGAGGCCGTCCTGTTCGGGAAGAGGCCGATGCATCTGGTCGAGGTCGAGGTGTTCTGCGGCGAGCCGGCGTTCATGGACGGCGTCGTGTGCATCTCCGGCGCGTCGGGCGCCGGGAAGACGGAGCTTGTGCTGGAGTACGCGCACCGCCACGCCATGGAGTACAAGAAGGTGCTGTGGGTGCGCGGCGAGGCGAGGTACCTACGCATGGGCTACCTCAAGCTCGCCGACCAGCTCGGCCTCGCCGTCGGCGACGACCTGTCCCTCATCGCCGCCGGAGACCGGCGTAGCAGCGGCAGCAAGAAGGCCGAGAAGGAGTGGATCTTTCGTGGCTTGGAGAGCGACGCCATTGCCAAGATCCGAAAGGAGCTCACGCGCGAGATCCCCTACCTCCTCGTCATCGACAATCTCGAGAGCGAGACGGACTGGTGGGACAGCCGCGACGTGCAGGACCTCCTGCCCGGCGCCGTCGCCGGCGCCGCCGTGCGCAGCCATGTCATCATCACGACGACGCGGCTGCGCCGGCTGCAGAGGGTCAGGACGTTCTCGCTGGCGCCGAGCATGGAGTCGCCGGAGGCCATGCTGCTGATGACGAGGAACGGGGCTCTCGCGTTCCACGGCGAGGAGGACACCATTGCCCTCAGGGCGATCCAGCAGAAGGTAGGTAGCATCCCTCTCGCCCTCGCGCTCGTCGGCGCGGTCCTCTCCGAGCTCGCCGTCAGCCCGGCGGAGCTCCGGCAAGCCATGAACGACGCGCCGTACCGCGCGCCGACGTGGGAGGAGAACGACGCGCCGGCGCTGCGGGACAACCCGGGCATGGTGCAGCTGCTCGACGTGTGCTTCGCGCTCCTGGACGAGGAGAAGGACGGCCTCGGCGAGGCGGCGGTGAGGATGGTCGAGACCAGCAGCTTCTTCGCTCCGTCGCCGATCCCGGTGGCCTTGCTGGCGGCGGCCATGGGCGGCGAGCCCAAGAGGCCGCTGTGGAAGCAGATGAAGCTCGCGCTGCGCCTCTCCTGCTCATCATCCCGGCGAGCGCTGGACAAAGACTCCTCCTCCCGCCGCCGCGCCGCCGCCGCCGCCGCCGAGCCGGAGGCGCTGGTGGCGCTGCTGCGGCTCGGGATCGCGCGGCGGTGCACGACGCAGCCGGCGCCGTGCGTCTCCGTGCACCGGGTGTTCAGGCTCTTCGGCCGAAAGGCCGTCGGCTCCGGCGAGGCGGCGGCGCGTTCCACCGTCCGCGCCATCACCGCCGCGGAGGTGCACGACGAACACGCGTGGGCGGCGTGCATGTCGGTGTTCAAGATCGCGCCGGCCATCGCCGCCAACCTGCCGACGAAGGAGCTGCCCCAGTTCGTCACGCACGTCGCCGTGCCGCTCGCCGCGCGAGGCGTGGTTGCGCACTCGGCGTACGCCGCCGTCACCGACCTGCTCGTGGAGTCCAGCAACGTCGTCCGCGGCGAGGAGAGCAGGTACGTCGCGAGCGGCGGCCTCGATGAGAACCCAGCTCTGTACCATGAGCTTGCACATTCTAGGGCACAGCTGCTGAAGCTCCGCGCCAAGCTGATGCTCCGAGGAGGCGAGTTCACGCTCGCCGAGGACCACAGCTTGGCGGTGATCCACATCCTGGAGGTGGTCGCCGGCGACGATGACCCGGAGACGGAGGAGGCGAGGGCGGCCTTGGACCGCGTTCTGCAGGTTCAGCCAGAGTGATTTTTTGCGGGTTTAGGGTCTAGGACTTTAGGCGCGGAATCTTGCATGGCTCTCATAGAAACTCGTACAAAACTAGACTATAACCCACACATTGTTGCGGGTTTGATTGTGCTGTTATTTTCATGTATCTTGTCTTTAATAAAATGTATCTTTTGATACTTTGGTATTTATTTTGGAACTAGCACTTACGTTATTACTTATTACTTATTTTGGATTCTACGGATTAAATATTTATCGGTCTTACCGCACCACCTATTTTTAAGTACATGGTAGACACGCCCGTTAGTTTTGACCATTGACTTGCTACAAAAGCCATAAATAAATTATTTCCCATTTTACCATGTCCCTCCCTCCCCATTTTCTGGCCTCCTCTCACTGCTCCTGCTTGAGCTCTGAGCCCCAACCGCTCATGCTCGTGCTCAAGGAGCGTTGGAGTAGCCAAGAGATGGAGTGTGAGACATCTTATGAAGTGGGAAAATAGTTTTCTGTGCTCATATAATGTGGTATGTCAACGGGTAAAGCTAATGTGCCATTGCTACCGTGGAGTAAAACTATGTGGAATGGACAAAAGTGGGTCAAACGAGTGATACGAAAAATTCAAGGTGAAAAAAAATTAGGGCTTTAGGCACGGGATTTTGCATGGCTCTCGTAGAAACTCATACAAAACTAAACTACATCCCGCACGTTACGGGTTTGATTGTGCTGTTATTTTCATGTTTCTTGTCGTTAATAAAATGCATCTTTTGGTACTTTGGTATTTATTTTGGAACTAGCACTTACATTATTACTTATTACTTATTTTGGATTCTACGGATTAAATATTTGTCGATCTTACCACACCACCTATTTTTTAAGTACATGGTAGACATGCCCGTTAGTTTTGACCGTTGACTTGCTACAAAAGCCACAAATAAATCATTTCCCATTTTACCATGTCCCTCCCTCCCCATTTCTTGGCCTCCTCTCGCTGCTCCTGCTTGTGCTCTGAGCCCCAACTGCTCATGCTCGTGCTCAAGGAGGAGCACTGGAGTAGCCAAGAGATGGAGTGCGAGACATCTTATGAAGTGGGAAAATAGTTTCTTGTGCTCACATAATGTGGTATGTCAACGGGTAAAGCTAAAGTGCCATTGCTACCATGGAGTAAAGCTATGTGGAATGGGCAAAAGTGGGTTAAACGAGTGATACGAAAAACTCAGGGTTATAAAGAATTTAAAATTTAAGGCTTTAGGCGCAGGATTTTGCATGGCTCTCGTAGAAACTCCTTTAAAAGTAGAGTACATCCCGCACGCACGCTGTTGCGGGTTTGATTATCCTGTTCTTGTCATGTAATCTTATCGTTTAAAAAATTTATAGTATCTTTTAGTACTTTGGTATTTATTTTGGAACTAATAGTTACATTATTGCTTATTTTCTATTCTAGAGATTAAATATTTGTTGGTCTTACCAGACCACCTATTTTAGGTACACGGTGACAATGCTTGTTAGTTTTAACCGTCGAGTTGCTAAAAAAACAAATAATTTTTTCCCATTTTACCATATCGCTCCCAACCCATTTCATGGCTCCTCTTGTTGCTCCTCCTTGTGCTCTGAGCCCCTTCTGCTCGTGCTCAATAAGGACCGCTCAAGTAGCTAAGAGATGGAGTACGAGGCATCTTGTGGACTAGGAAAATATTTTTTTTGTCACGTCATGTGATACGTCAACGGGTAAAGCTAAATGTGCCATTGCCACCGTGGAGTAAAGCTACGTCGAATGGGTGAAAGTAGGTTAAACTAGTGATATGAAAAACTCGGGGTGGAAAATAATAGGATTTAGGGCTTTAGGCGCGGGATTACGCATGGCTTTCATAGAAACTCCTATTGCGCACACACGTTGGTGCAGTTTTGATTGTGTTGATATTGTCCTGTAATCTTATCATTTAAAGAATTGTATATTTTTGTACTTTGGTATTTATTTTGGAACTAATGTAACATTTTTACTTATTTTAGGTTCTAGAGATTAAATATTAGTTGGTCTTACCATACCACCTAGTCTTAGTACACGGTGGCAATGTGTGTTAGTTTTGACCGTTGACTTGCTGCAGAAAACACAAATGAATTCTTCCCCATTTTATCATATTCCTCCCTCCCCATTTCTTGGCACCTCTCGCTGCTCCTGCTTGTGCTATGAGCCCCTTCTGCTCCTACTCATGCTCAAGAAGGAGCGCTAGAGTAGCCAAGAGATGGAGTGTGAGGCATCTTATGGACTAGGAAAATATTTATTTGTGCTCACGTTATGTGGTACGTTCACGGGTAAAGCTAAATGTACCATCGCCACTGTGGAGTAAACCTATGTGGAATGAGCAGAAGTGGGTTAAATGAGTGATATAAAAAACACAGGGTAAAAAATAATCAAATTTAGGGCTTTGGGCATGGGATTTTGCACCGCTCTCGTAGAAACTCCTATAAAACTAGAGTGCATCGCGCACGCACGTTGGTGCGGTTTTGATTGTGTTGCTATTGTCATGTAATATAATCGTTTAAAAAATGTATCTTTTAGTGCTTTGATATTTATTTTAAAATTTATGTTACATTATTACTTATTTTGGGTTCTAGATATTAAATATTTGTTGGTCTTACCATACCACCTATTTTTAGTACACAGTGGCAATGCATGTTAGTTTTGACCGTTATTTGCTACAGACAACACAAATTAATTCTTCCCCCATTTTACCATATCCCTCCCTCCTCATTTATTGGCTCCTCTCGCTGCTCCTGCTTGCACTCTGAGCCCCGTTTTCTCATGCTCATGCTCAAGAAGGAGCGCTCGAGTAGCCAAGAGATGGAATGCGAGGCATCTTATAGACTAGGAAAATATTTTTTTGTGCTCATGTCATGTGGTACGCCAATGCATAAAACTAATGTGCCATTGCTACCGTGGAGTAAAGCTATGTGGAATATACAGAAGCAGGTTAAATGAGTGATATGGAAAACTCAGGGTGAAAAATAATTAGATTTAGGGCTTTGGGCGTGAGATTTTGCACGGCTCTCGTAGAAACTCCTATAAAACTAGAAAACATCGCGCACGCACGTTGGTGTGGGTTTGATTGTCCTGTCATTGTCATTTAATATTATCGTTTAAAAATATGTACCTTTTTTACTTTGGTATTTATTTTGGAACTAATGTAACATTATTACTTATTTTGGGTTCTAGAGAATAAATATTGGTCGGTCTTACCGTACCACCTATATTTAGTGCAAAGTTGTCAATGCGTGTTAGTTTAGAAAACACAAATGAATTCTTCCCCATTTTACCATATTCCTCCCTCCCCATTTCTTGGCACCTCTCGCTGCTCCTGCTTGTGCTATGAGCCCCTTCTGCTCCTACTTATGCTCAAGAAGGGGCGATCGAGTTGCCAAGAGATGGAGTGTGAGGAATCTTATGGCCTGGGAAAATATATTCTTGTGCTCACATCATGTGGTAAGTCGACGGGCAAAGCTAAATGTGCCATCGCCACCGTGGAATTTTTGTCCAATTTATCTGATCTGGAATTTTTGTTCATGGTGTATAAATTAAAGGACTTGGTACGTAAGTTTGCAAGATTCAATGGTGAAGTACCTGATTCCCAAAAAAACAAACCAAAGTTGTGACACAGATGAACATGGTATGGTGGTTTTAAATGTCAATCATTTTGTTCTATACTCAAACAGTGACAGTAGACACTGAAGCAAAAGGCGTTTACCTTCATGTTCCTAGAGAGATTGGTGTTCTGGGTTAACAGAAATATCTTCAGCACAACATTGTCTACAGGACGGAAATAACAGGTAGAGATTATCACTTCTGTGTCTTTAAGAAGATTGCAAGAACTGAAAAAAAATGCAGATGAAATAAGTCCTATAGCATCGATACAATCACAGTGGTTATAGAGAAGAACTATAGAAGTGGTATTTGAAGTGGCAAATAGTTAAATTTCCCTGATAAATTACTCGCTTCATTAGTGCAGTGTGTTTCTGTGCATGGTATTAGGGAGGAACGAAAATAAAGAAATTGGGGGTGCACTGATCCAAGTCCTGTCATAAACAATATGTGATAAAAGAAAAATTGCATCAGACAAGCTGCCTTTGTTAGATCGAGTTCCAACATATATCTGCATCTTACAGGTAATTGCAAACAGTCGTTATGATCTAATTCGGGACTAGTGCAAATATCTTAAATTACCAGTAAAGCGGTGAACCACACTGTAAATCTCGTATCGATCAGGCCGAGGATATATAGCATTTCCATTACCTTAAAAGAACGTATCATATCTCGAAAAAACTACAACGAAATCTATATCTATATCTATATATACCTAATAAAAAAATACGTAAGGTTTTCGAAAGTTTTTTTTCGTCCGTCATCCACTTGCGTACGCAAAATCGATTTTAATCTGCTTAGATGTATCAAACACTTTTCAATCTACTCCAAAACCACGGTTCAGATAGAATATGTATTTTCCATGTAACAACCAAGCAAAAACAGCAGTTTGCCTACTTGGCTAAGGAAGGAGCTCTTCATTCCCACATTCATCTCCTTTTTACACATATTATTACTTGCACTAGTGTGATTTAAAGCGTCAATGGGCCACTCCTAAGCCAAATCTGGCCTACTTTATCAAAACCATTTTACACCTATTATTACTTAGAATAACTCTACTTTGAATCCCTCATTCCAAATCATATTTTTTGGTAAAAAGAAAATGATCGCAGGGGCTCCTAAATTAAAACTCTGACCCCTTTTGACCTCGGCAAATCTCTACCATTACAAAAATTAAAGATATTTTTATCGATATTTTAGTAAGTCATCTGTGTATGAGTCAGTTTTTAAGTTCGTTCGCTATTGGAAATATAGATCTGTATTTTAGTCGAGTTTTAAGTTCATTCGCTTTTACAAATACAGAAGGAGTTGTATAAGAAATCTCTTTAAAATAAACTCGCATGTTAACTTGACATGATTTTCTAGAAAAATATATATATCCAAGCGAATTCTTACAATGAATTTCACAATGAACAATAATAAGATTAATATAGTCTTTACCCGTTGCAACGCACGGGTATTTTTTCTAGTTAGCTAAAATTTCCTGTCCATCCGTCTTGATTTGGATGAGTTTGTACCAATTTTATCGAAATGTTTTAAAGTTAATTGAGATCAGCATATACCTATACCAGTTGCCCTTCCACCGCCACCACCTCCAATCCTCCCATCAACCTATCCAATGGAGCTCCTCACAACCAGAAGAAATTGGTCATGCATATGCTTTGTTCTTATACTAGATATATGCATGTAGAGTTTTTAATTAGCTCTGAGTATGGTTGATTTGCACTTGTGCACCAGCACTAAAGGAGGCCTGGGGGTGTGGCGCGATCCGTAGGGAAGTAGCTTTCTTACTGACAGAATTAATAAAGCTAGTCATGAAAAAATATTGTAATAACCTCTTTTCTGGACGCCATTTTCATAACAGCGATGGTGAGGCTGTGACTGAATAATCCACAAAGTAAGCACGATGATTGCTGCAGTTATCAGTTCACAATAGTACGTACAGAAGGCGGAGGAAGGGCAGGCAGGGGTGGATTTATAGTATAAGGACCGGTGTCAGGCGACACCGACGACTTTCGGTAAAATCTATAACGAAACTACTTATCCATATATTATAACACCATAATCTAAGCATAATTAGTATCCTATAACACCGATAGACACATCATGACACCGATGAAAAGATTTTCTGGATCCACCGAGGGCAGGGCATGTAGCGGTACATGCAGGCGCACGAAGCTGTGGCCCTCAGTGAGGTAGGGACTTCATCTAGTGGCCGTCGCGTCGACGCCCAGCTTGAGCTCGGCCGGCCAGGGCGTTGAACAGACTGCTTGCAGGCGATGCGCGCCATGTGGTCGATCGCCGTACTCCGCCATGTGTGCCCTGATCGATCCGAACCCAGTACGTCGTCATCATCGCCATCGCTGACCTGTGACGATAACGAGGAACCGAACCGGGGACGAGATCGATATGGAGTCCCTCCAGGGGTGTAAGTGGGTCAGCCGCGAACCCACTTATAGGTCAAAATAAGCGGATTTGTGGCTTATTTTAGCCTATAAGTGGGTTTCGCGGGTTAGCCACTTACACCCCTTCCCTCCAGCCCAATTGACTTCGTAAGGGTCGTCCCGTAAAATTTGGGAGCCCGTGCGATAAAATAAACCGGTAAACAACTTACACTTCAAGATATATTTTAGCAATATAAACTTGAATAGAAATTTTTCTTTGTGCATAATCTTCAATTGGAAAGTATATTTCTTTTTGGAAAAAGTACGAATTACCCCCTGAACTATCACGGTCGTCCAAATTCCCCCCCTAAACCCGAAAACCATACATTATTCACCCTAAACTTTCAATACCGGACGAATTACCCCCCTCGACTCAATCCAGAGCAGTTTTGTCCTATGTGGCGTATGCGTGGCAACCCAGTCAGCATTTTCTTTTTTTAAATATGGTGGGCCCACCTGTCATTCTCTCCCATCTCCTCCTTTTCCTCTTCCCCTCTTCCTCTCTCTCTCTCTCGACGTTAGGCGCGGTCGGCACGCGAGGGCCGCGATGGGCGGCAGCGGTTTGTCAGGCGTGGCCGCACGGGCGGTCGGCACGCGAGGGCAACGGTGGGCGGCAGCGCGTCGTCAGGCGTGGCCGTGCGGGCGATCAGCGCGCACGGCGGCACGCGAGGGCGGGCGGTGGGCCGAGAAGATCGATCCCGATCCCCTCCAGCGGCCCCATCTTTTTCGTTCTTGGTCATCAGGAGAGATCGATCTCCTTGGTTTTGTCGCTGTCAAGCAGCAGCAACAGCACCTTGCTTGCTAGGTCATCGTCGACGGAATCTGCTCCGCCCCCTGTGCATCGGCCATCTTCGCCGCGACCGCGGTCGACCTTGGGGCCTCCAGCCCCGACCTCCTCCTTCTCCTGTCGTCGCGTTCTCCTGGACCACGCCGTCAACCGGCTCTCCCTCGCTGGCGTTCGTTGGTCCGCCACCGCCGTCGACCGGCCTGAGCCACAGTGTCCTCTGCGATGAGCCGGCACCGGCGCCTGGCTAGGGTGCTCATCGCTGCCGTCAGGACTTGGCCGCTTCCTCCATCGGCTCTGCCTCCTGGATTTTCAACCAGAGCCGCCCGCCGCGCTCGCGTCGTGTACCTAGTCGCGCTCGCTGTCTGGAGCCCATTGCCGCGCATGCCTGTTGATTTTGCAAATTGGCCGGGGGAGACAATGAGATTCCGAATGTCTCGCCATCTCGATCACGCCCATGTTACATCCATCGATCGCATCGTCATATGCTACATCATTAATGCTAATCACCTCTTCAATTCTATCTATGTTCGTCGTCATCATCGTCGTCAATTGTCTATCCTGTAACCGTGTCATAGCTATAGCTAAAGACAAAAGACACAATCGTCCCCTGATGATGCGCTGCCGCCCATCGCCACCCCCGCAGGTGCTGGGGAGCGAGCAACGGCTGGGGAGCTTCCGGCCGACCCCCGCCTCACCGCCATGGCCGCCGCCGTGTGCGGAGCTCGCTCCCCTCGACCTCCCTTTCCACCTCCATTTCCTCCCCTTCCCCATCCACCTCCGCTCCCCCCTCCCCCATCCTCTCAACCTCCCCGCGCGCCGCCGGGTGCGTCGACGGCCGGCCTGCCCGCGTGCGCCGCTGCCCACCGCCCGTCCCGCGCGCCGCCGTGCGCGCGACGGCCGGCCCGCTCCCGCGCGCCGCTGGCCACCGGCGCTGCCCACCGCCCCTCTCCGCATTGCGTCGTGCGCGCTGTCGCCCGTTGACCATGTATGAACAGACGAAGAGAGGAAGAGGGGGGTATGACACGTGGGTCCCACCATTTTTTTAGAAAAAAAAGCTGACTGGGTTGCCACGCGTACACCACGTAGGACAAAACTGCTCTGGATTGGGTCGAGGGGGGTAATTCGTCCGGTATTGAAAGTTTACGGTGAGTAATGTCTGGTTTTCAGGTTCAGGGGGGAAATTCGGCCGACCACGATAGTTCAGGGGGGTAATTCGTATTTTTTCCTTTCTTTTTCCTTTAGTACTTCTTGAAATAAAATTTTCAATGATTTGCAGAAGACATTTCTTAGAAGTTGAAATGCTATATAAATCTATGCACATATAGATGCAAGATGAATAAAAATTAATTTAGTATACGTACTAGATAAACCATAAACCTAGTGATCATAATAAAATTTTAGGTCATATACCCTGCTGCCTTGCTGGTGTGTGCAGGGCAGCTAGCTTGCCGCTTGTGGTCGCTGCCATATCGCCGAGGAGGGCGCCCAAAGGCGTTGCTCGCTGGTTGCCGCCTTGCCGCTTTACTGCGGCACGTCAGCAGACGTGCAGACGGCGAGCGACGAGGGCCAAGAGCCAAGCGACGACCGTGCGATGAGCGGCCGAGCATCGAGCAGGACAGCGAGACGGCGAGTGCGAGAGCGGCGCGGCGTATGGGTTGGGGCAGACGGACGGGTGGACGCTCGAATTGACACACGTGCCGAAAACAAATCGACGTGCTCGCTCAGCCTCCGTTTCCAACTGCACATTTCAACTAATTTATTCTATTGGGCTAATGGTCCTGTGACACGTACTAAGATATTTGGGGCCCTGTGCGGTCACGCTTGTGGCACTCCCACAGGAACGGCCCTAACTTCGTGGACGCGGAGCGACTTCAGCGCCGCGGTGCCGCACCTTCTTTAGCTCGGAAGGGTCACGACCCAGCAGCTGCTTCCCCCAACGCCAGCAGCCGCCCGCGGAGCTCGCCGGGGATGCCGTGGTTCACCGCCGCTCTTTTGCAGGCCGGTGCCGCTGGTCTTGCCCGTCACGGGGGCAAGGATAGGATAGGACACGAAGAGGAGGATAGAGGAAAAGAAGTGGTCACTGATAGCTGGTCACGTATATATTTTTTAATTCTTTTAGTTAATTGTAATGCTGCATAAACGTCATGTTCAGCAAAAATCACCTTCAGTGCCACTTGAGGCTCCCAACCTCACTCCCTAATTTATCGCGTGCACGCTTTCCAAATACTAAATGGTGTAGTTTTTTTTTAAAAAAAATTCT